GACGGCTATGTTTTGAATATGTCTACGTGAGCTTCAACTAGAAAAAAAGCCATTTTCAGGATGGATGGGGCATCCTCATCTGGTCCGAGGCCTTATATACGTCTTACATCGCAATTGAAGAATGCCACACGTTCTGCCGGAGGAGAAGTTCGATTCAGATGTGAGGCTATTGGTACACCACCCCTTTCGTTCACGTAAGTTCGACTTATTCCTTCGACTTTCGCTGCTCGCGTTTATACCGTATTTTCTATATTATACTACATTTTGTATAATGTATATATTCAGGTACTTTATATTAATAAAAAATAAAATTCAAATAAAATATAACATAAAATAAAAATTTCTCGGCTAATTTTTGAGCCTAAATGAAGATTACGGTGGCAGGGGGGAAGCATGCCTGCCCGAGGGATTACTAACTTCCCTAAGAAACTTGTGATGGGTTTTTGATTGATTTCTGTCAGTAATTAGATTATTAAGAATACATTATTTAATCAAAAATACCAGAAAAGGCAAGTTTACTTCCTTCGATGATCCAATATGCTATCATTGTTTACTGTTTACTTTCGCTGTCAATATGGGCAATAAACTGACCAGATAGGGAACCGTACTCGATTGCAAGGATAATAGTTCGTTCAAAAGTTGTTTATTTGGGATTGTTTTGGTTTTATTAAGGTCACAAACAAGTTTTTAAATATACTTTATTTTATTAAAAATGCTAGAAACAATGGCGTTCACTCCTACAGTAGTTCCTACCATATGCTGTCAATGTTTATTGTTTACTTCTGGTGGTGAAAATGGGCAAATAATTAGTCTTCCACATATTTACTTGTTTATTAGAGTCCTTCATTTTCCAGATGATATCAGTAATAGAACAAAGTTTTTTTCCAGATGGCTGAAGAACCATGCACCGATTGAGAAGTCGCGACGAGTGAAAGTACGGAATCGTGAGAACTCGTCCAGGCTGGTAATCACTGAACTCGATGTGCTCGACTCAGGCTACTATCAGTGTATTGCTTCCAATTCGGCCGCTTCTGTCAATACAACCAGCGTTCTTCGGGTCAGTCCCTAATCATCTTACGCTTCACACAGTATCGCTTATTCAATCGTTCCTGCTCCTGTTCGGCCCTTTCCGACTCACCGCCACCGCCGTTTCTCATCAATTCCGACTCAACGGAATCTATTTTAGTGTTGGCGCGGCTGGTTTGGCCCCAGCATTCATCAGTAAATGCATGACTCATCTGCCATCGGCTCATTATCCTCCTCGTCCCTTGTCCCTTTACGTCCCCCATCGTGGTGTGCATTCACTTTGTCGTAGGCTCCATTCAATTGGACACTGCTGGTCAGTATTGCCACCCATGGGGCATCGGCCTCTCTCTCCCGCGTCCCTCCACTAATTCACTTCCTCCTCTACGGTAGTTGTTCGGTTGCGAAACCACTGAAAATCGAAGCCGTCACCCGTTTATCTTGTGGTTTTCTGGTGGAGGTAGTGATGATGTGAGGAGAGCAGAAAGCACACGTGGAGTGGGAACGTACTGGACATCTAAATGACCGTCAGAGACTAGCGACAAAGGTGATTTATCATAGTTGGCGCGCTCCGACCCGCCCTCAGTCCGATCACCAGATAGCACCCTCTCTCTCTCAACAAACGTACTCCTTCCGTCTCGTTTTCGATTTCACTCCGATGCTTTTTTCTTCCTTAGTTATGTAACACATCGACTTTTTACTTTGCTTTTTTACTATTTGCCATCTCATATGTCATTGTGATATTTAGTGATACCAGATGATCTTAATTCCTCACGACAGTATCAATTTGTGTACTCAAAGGTGGCCGACCCTCACACACACGCTTGACCTAATCCGCTTTATTCCCCAGTCTCTTTGTCGACCATCTCGATCGACAGCTCTTCAGTTTTACAAGGGGGGCGTCATCGTGGGGTCAACCCAACAGACCGAGTGGTGGTGGTGGTGGTTGTGAGCGATGGATGAATAGATGGATGGTACCATCGGTCCCACCACATCGTCCACCATTTGACTGATCGTCTCTCTCGCTAGCTCTCGAGCTTCATTTGAAATGTTACCCCCATGATTTTCAGAAATTTCTGTTTTCAGCTACTTTTACCCCATTTTCTTCATCTCTAGCTTGATGTCAGTTCAAGGGTCATGCCGCTGTAGGCCATCTCATTCGGCTTTCATGGGATCTAGAGCCGTGCCCATAAGATATTCTAAGAAAATGGGTGTCTTAGTCGTGACCACAAGCCATTTACACAATCCTTTCGGTTGCCGACTCCCACTACGGCTCATTGTCTTGGTATTTTTTCTTTGGCGGACCACCGTCGGAGGCGTAAAGAAACTACCATTGGCCCTATTCATCGATCAATCGAACGGACGTCGTCCGTCCGCTTCGAAGGCTGGGCTGGGCGATGGTGCAAAGTGGCACCCACTGCACTCCTCCATCCATCACAGCACTTTTCTCCTACTTGCTTCATCTATCACTGATCTGGTTCTATCTGTGTCCGAGCAGATCTCACTGATCTCTTTTGTTATTTCAACGGCCATCCGTGGGCGCTACTCCCACACCGTCTCCGGGGTTCATGAAATTCCACCAGAACCTCTATCTACTACAGTAGACAAGCCTGGACCCCCCTTTGTGGTTTTCCGGTAATGTTGTTAGGTGAATGTCAACATGTCCAAGATGGTGGCATACGGTTAGCCGAGCCGATCATCAGCAGATGGTTGTCTGTCGTTCTGCGTCACCGATCCATCCTCAAACCCTCGCTAGCTCGATCTCATCCATCTTCTAACCTACTCGTCGACCTCTCATACGCTTCTACACGCACATAATTCTCATTTGTATGCTATCATGTAGCCAGATTTATGAATTGTCTTCTCTTGTCTTTCAAATTCAAATTTATGGCCGTAAGACGGTCTTTTCGTCTCAAGTGCCAATCCGTCATTCCCCGGACACCTGTCTTCCGCGTTTCGATACCTGATCAGATTCTATAGCGAAGGATCATGTCTGGTCTAGAAACTACCCAACATCTCTTCGGAAGTTCCTCCTTTTCCTACCTTCTGAAAGGAAACCATTATTGCCCTATCCTACTTGCTGCTGTCATGGGAGAAATATTGCCCAGGCACAACATGCGTATATTGGAAGCCTCCGACACAGCGCATGTTGGAACTTACACGTTCCAA